TCCTAACCCTAACCCTAACCCTAACCCTAACCCTAACCCTAACTCCTAACCCTAACCCTAACCCTAACCCTAACCCTAACCCTAACCCTAACCCTGACCCTAACCCTGACCCTAACCCTAACCATCATCAATAATAACTACCAAAAAAATCCTTCTAATACTAATTAGAATTATTATTACAACTATTACTATAATTACAATTACGAACTTAATCATAATTTCAATTATTATTATTATAATTATTATTATTATACATCTATTATTATTACAATTATTATTATTATAATCATTATTATTACAACCATTATTACTATTATTACAATTATTATTATTCCATTTTAATATTATAATTATATCATTATATATATAATATAATAATCATTTAATACAATAATTATATTACTATATATACAATATAACAATCATTATAATACAATAATATAATAATCATTTAATACAATAATTTTATTATTATATATATAATATAATAATTGTTTAATATAATAATTATATTTATTATATAATATAATATCATCTTCAATCTAATACAATAATTATCCAATATAATAATTATACTTATTATATAATAAAATAATTCTTATTTAGATCGATATTTTATATAATCACCACCCCCTGGTCAATATTTTGTATAATCACCACTACCCTGTAAATTTACTCCACATCCAAAAATAACCCTAACTCCTTCATAATTTTCTATTATAATCTATTAGAAAAATCAATACTGTTATACAACTAATACAAATAATTCAATTCTGATTGAATATTCTAATTCATTGATTAATTTTATTATATTTTCATCTTTTAAATTTTAAAATATCTCTTAAATTGATCGATTTCGGGGTGGTGACCATATTTACTTTTTTGGATAGTCACCCCCCTATCAAAAGTGGTCACCATCGATGGTGACCACCAAAAAAATTCTTATAATACTAGTTAGAGTTTTAATTAATCAAATTTCCAAAAAATTAAATTTAAAATTAAATTATATTTTAATCAAAATATATAAAATAATAAAATTTTATTCAAAATTAATAAATAAATTATATAAAAGTTAAAAGTTTTAAAAAAATTAAAAAATTTGTATATCAAAAATGTAAATTAAAATTATTATATATATTTTATAAAATTTATTATTTTATATTATTATTATTATTATTATATTTTAAATCAAGAATATATATATTAAACTAATATTATAAATTTTAAATTCATTAAAATCACAATAATTAATAATATAAATGAATGTTAATAAGATTATATTGAATATGAATATATAATTCATATATCTTTTTGTCTCAACTCCATTGAATAAAACCTTCCTATACTTTCAACCCAACTCCATATCGCTCGAATGCATAAAAAAACACAACCGTACTACAACATCTTCATTTGAAAAGCCGCTTACCTCCAACCCTAGAAGCAAACCTTTCAACCCCACTATGCTGTTGCAATTGCCATAAATTCAATTGTCCAGCCAATCCATCTTCATTGCCCTGTCTCAACCTTCTTAATGCTTCCCTCAAATGATCCGCCTGCAAAGGTGCCCTCCTCAATTCCTTGGCTGCTGCCCGTCTTTTCTCCGTCAGCAGTATTCGTGTCCTCCGCTGTTGAAATGACAAATCCAGAGTTCGGTTCTCCAGCCGCAATCCATTGTGTTTGTATCTTTCTTGCACCTTCAATTAACTCTCCAACAAATTGTTTGGCCACACTCTTCACCGCCAAAATTACGGTAGCCGGCACACTTTGCGAAAGAGTTTGATTCACAATTCTCCTAATGGTGGCGTCTGGAAATTTTACGGCTCTCATAGCTGTGTAACGTTCAAACTGTTCTGGATCCAAATGATTTGCCAGCAAGGCCCTTCGTTGTATATCCCGTTGCTTTTCTTCGATACTAGACGACATCGATGTCATAGTTTGATCCACAGTGTTGTCATCTTCCTCATCGTCTTCTATATTTCCAGTTGATGTTCGTCGTTTCTTTGAGGAAGGTCCTTCTGATTTTACCGCGCCAGCATTAGATCCCTCAAAATCTCCCCTTCCACCTTTCGACTTTCTTGGGCGTTTCCTTTTTGATTGACCACCGGCGACGCTCCCGCTTACAAGGGACATAGTATCAACACTTGGTGAACGTTCATATCCAGGTGTGTATACAGCGGATTCGGGAGGGAAGGAGGTTTGACGTAAAGGATGTGCAGAGTGGGTTGAAGTTGTGGATATCATACTTGCTTTCCGACGTTTGATGGAATTAACTTCAGAAGCTCGACGTGTATGCGACAACGTAGTGGCAGATAGTGGTACTGAATTGGGAGTAATCGTGAGGGAGAGGGGATTGTTAGAAAATTCTAGAGGTGCTGGTGGAGACGCCATATCGACCGGCGCTCTCACGGTAAATCGGTAGGTATCATGCAGTGATTCTTGGGCTAGTTAGTCGGTGCTAAACTGATAAGTAATGAAAATAGCCTTGGGACCGAAGCTCTTATCGATGGTGATAAGTTCGACAAGTCTTAGTTGTTATACACAAGAAGGAAGAATGGATGTAGGGAGATATTGTTCAAAATATGTTGTTTTCCTTAGAGGATGTATGGACCTTGTAGTTGTAATATATCGAGAAGTGAGACCTACACCGGTAGGTACTACTTGGTTGAAAAGGTCCCTTTGAGATTAATTGGTGCAAGGTGGTTGGTTGGTGATTATGCAGACAAGGCTGAGGCCAAGGCTGACGCTGACGCTGACCCTGCAATGTCCCCGGGCTCCGTACCTGCCGTACCTGTGCGAATGCTACCCATGCCATGGTACATAGATGATCTAAATAATTGTTAGCGCCACTTTAGATAATTAGAATTATTCCAAACCCTTATCTCGGAGAGACAATACCTACAGTAATCTCTCACTGCACCGATAAAATTTCTTTGATTACAATCACCCCATTTACATTTCATTTATTTTTTCCCACTTCAAACAAACACTAATAAAATACAAATTTGGATTCAATTCCAGATCTTCCATCATGGTACAATTCTCCAACCAAGATGGAAACAAGGAGGAAGCAGAGAAGGAACAGAGGGAATTCAATGGCGGAATTTCCAAGCGCAAGTCCGAAAGTAGTTGGGAAGGCGGAGAAATGACGAAGAAGAAAAAGAGGAAGTCAAAGGCAAATGGTCATCATGGACATGGACATCGAAGACATAGTGTCAGCACCAAACCGGCGAGAGATCCAAGAGATGAGGCTGCAGATACTCCGGAAGAGACTCCTGTTGAGGTTTCAAGAAGTCCCAGTCCAGTCATTGATTTTGATGGTTTGAGTCGGCCTAGTATGTCGTCATCCTCTTCCATCCCAGCCGGGCTTAAGCAAATTGGTATTTTTTCGCTCTTGTAGCTAATATAAATTTTAGGCAAAGGCGCGCGAGAACGTCTTGATGAATCCCCAGAACAAGCAGCTGTCCGAATGTCAAAATTGACAGGCGCAGTTCGCACAATTCTTGAATGTATAGGTGAAGATCCGGATCGAGAAGGTCTCTTAGCCACTCCCGAGCGATACGCAAAAGCAATGCTATACCTCACGAAAGGATATCAGGAAAATGTTAGGGACATTGTCAATGATGCAATTTTCCATGAGGACCATAATGAATTAGTAATTGTCAAAGATATCGAGGTCTTCAGTATGTGCGAGCATCACATGGTTCCATTCACTGGAAAGGTAAGCTTGTCTCTTTGATGTTGTTGGAAGCCATGGAAGCTTACATTGATGAATCGCAGATGCACATTGGTTATATCCCAGATCGAAATGTCATCGGTATTTCAAAGTTGCCTCGAATTGCGGACATGTTTTCACGAAGGCTACAAATTCAAGAGAGGCTTACAAAAGATGTCGCACATGCCGTTATGGAAATTCTCAAACCACAGGGCGTAGCAGTTGTCATGGAATCGAGCCACTTATGCATGGTCATGCGTGGAGTGGAGAAAACGAGTGCTACGACGATTACGAGTTGTGTTCTTGGTTGCATAGAAAAAAGAGAGAAGACTAGAAATGAGTTTTTTAGTTTGGTGGGCTTGAATAGAAGATAGATAATTGGCAAAAGGGGTGGTACATTTGCCTTTGCATTTTGCGGCGTTTTGGGTTTAAGGTACGATGGTCTTCAACACTACCATGGGAAGGCGTTCATTCTTTGGTCTTAACGCCATTTGTGTCTATATTGGATAATATTTTTACGCTAGGTCTTTGACCTTGAACTCAACAAATCCGAACTGGAAAGACGACCAACTTTGTTGTCATGTTTTCACTATATGGTTCTTACCACATATAGCCATTGTTCTCAATGTAAATTTGCTGCTCCGTTCCTATTTGGTTCCTCTGCTTTTGTTTATCATCATCGCACTACAGCTAAATCTCCAAGTTCCCCTTTTTCTATTTGTTCTACCAGAGTCACAACAGTATCCCATATCTTCTCCGCGACTTCTTCCACACCACCTCCCGCATTGATGGCCTTCATTAAACTACGCTCATGCTCAAGGCCTGTGATAGCCGTGTCCTGCAACCTCAAAAATCCATCCCTAACTCTCCTCTGCATCTCCCTCGTTTCGTACTTCTCATCCCCATACCCTCCTCGTTTTTCTGCTTCCTCGGGCTCTAAATCCAAGAATATCATTTTATCGGGCATGGGTAATCCTATTTCAGGGTTCTTGCACCATTCGAGGGAAAGGTGGTTTGGAGAATCAATCGGATACTTCGAAGAAGTATAAATCATTCCGGAGTAGTAATAACGATCGCAAACAATTGTGTACCCTTGTGCAATAAGTTGATGAATTTCCTGGGCTTTTTCCCATCGATTCGCCGAGAAGAGAAGGTGTATTGCCTGATCTGGCAGAATAGTAGAAGATTGTAGATAGGAATTTATCTGTTGACCGATTGAGGTTGTTCTGTCTTGATCTGTGAGCTTGAAGTTTTTGCCTTTGATCAGGAAGGCGTTATCCAGTAATTGAATACAAAATGTGTAGTAATGAGATAGTAAATACCGGGAAATCGCATCAGCTTAACATTTCGTCCAGAAGCATATAGTCTATCGCATAACTTCCCCACTTGTGTCGTTTTTCCAGCCCGGTCGAGTCCTTCGATCAAGATGAATGAACCGCGGGAGATGGGTCGTGAGGGCTCGCGGTAGGAATAATGCTCTATAGTGGAAGGGGTCATCTTGCAATGTATACAGAAATGTATCTTTGGAAGAGTGATCGAAAATTAATGAGTGAGAGAAGATAGCGGGGTATGTGTTGTAGAATGTGGGGGGAGGGATGTTTGCCTTTTCAGCAAAAGTACAATAATGCGTTTGGATCAAGTCAAAGAAAAATAATGGCCGTATGGAAATTCCAATGTCGATTCTAGGTATTGCAGTGGTAGGTATTGTAGTGTCATGAAATGATATGGAGTGAAATTTATCTAAAGCAGTTCTACGCAGTAACCTTAGGTAGCCTCGTGAGAGACTTCAGCCTTGTGGCCCTTAGCTCCAACAATCAGTAAGGTACCGTTCAAAGAATATCCCGCGAGATATATTAATGAATGCGCCGACAACAATATTTAATCATCCCGATGTCAGCATTTCAAAAGACTTTTGGGCCCTCCTCCATCTCCTCTACAAGCGAATCCTCCTGCTAAAATATATTTGTGACTTTATTTGCCATCGCATTAAGTCCATCAATCTTCAATCACAATCTGCGACCAATCCCCTCTTCTTCAGAAACGCAAAGCTCAATTGATCAATATGTCGGATCCTAAGTTAGTATGGAACCCAGATAATGTTCGTGACGTCGCGGAATCTGTCGGTATTTCACAACTGGGAGAAGAAGCAGTGAGGGCATTATCACAGGAGGTCGAATACCGGGTCGGACAAGTCATTGTCGAAGCAATGCGATTTATGCATCAAGGGAAAAGAACAGTATTAGGAACACAAGATATTTCGCAGGCGCTCAAAGTACTAGATGTTGAACCACTCTATGGTTACGAGTCGACGAGGCCACTGAGATTTGGGGAGGCAAGCTTAGGTCCTGGCCAACCACTCTTTTACATTGAGGATGAAGAAGTAGATTTTGAGAAACTGATCAATGCGCCTCTACCAAAGGTCCCTAGGGATATGTCATTTACTGGTGAGAAAGAAAATATCAAAGCTAAGAGCGTGAATATGGTGCTAATATTATTCAACAGCACATTGGCTCGCGGTCGAAGGCGTCCAGCCATCAATTCCGCAAAATCCAACGACAGCAGAAGCTCGTGCTAACGACCTGGTACCTAAAGGTCCGGGTGCAAACCCAGCTCTCGGAGCTTTGGCTGGCAATGATAATGTTTCCGTCAAGCCTTTAGTCAAACACATTGTGTCGAAAGAGTTGATACTATTCTTCGATAAAATCCGCGCAGCTATTCTAGATGATGACAATGATCCAGAGGTTGTTACATTACGGGAATCCGCCCTGGAAAGTGTAAGATCAGACCCGGGTCTTCATCAATTGGTGCCATATTTTGTTCATTTCATTGCGGAGAAAGTTACTCATTCCTTGGGCAATCTTTTCGTATTACAACAAATGTTGAAATTATCAGATGCCCTCATTTCAAATAAAACCCTCTTTGTCAATCCTTACATATCCAGTCTTTGCCCACCTATTCTCACATGTCTAGTCGGCCGCACACTTGGCACAGGAGCCTCGGATGAATTAAAGGAAAAATATCAACTGCGGGACACGGCAGCATCTCTCATTGGCGTTATCTCGAAGAAATACACGGAATCAAACGCACAGCTTAGGGCAAGGCTAGCAAGGTCATGCCTAAAGTTCTTCCTAGATCCAACACGCTCTCCGGGAGAATATTATGGGGCTATCAGTGGACTTCTGGCAATCGGTGGTCCTGATGGTGTTAGAGCTCTCATTCTTCCAAACTTGAACGCTTTCGATTATGTTTTAAACAAGCTGAGGAGTGACAGGACGGGGGACGATAAGGAAATACAGATGTTGATTGCGGTACTTATGAAGGCTGTTATGAGTCTTTCTCAGGAATCTGAAATTCATATAAATGGTACAAACGGTGCCAATGGTAATGGAATGAATGGCTTGATGGATATAGATGACGATGAGGGAAAAGAACTGGAAGAGTATCTGGGACCCACTATCGGAAAAAGGGTGCGAAATGTAAGGGATCATAAGTTGAACAAGGCAATTTTAGAAACGAGAGAGAAGAACTAGAGACATTGTAGTATATGGAGCTGCATGTCGAGACATTATGGGCGTTTAAGGGTGTATCTGGGAAGTATGGATTTGGCCAGGGATCGATATAAGGGTATTTACTTCTACTACCTACTCAAATATGCAGATGATATTACGGCATCCCTTTTGCATTCATTAATGAGTAGGGATGTACCTTAGTGGGAAATAATGAATTACAATAATTGACACTTGGATGGAACTCCCTATTGATGAATCACTTCGTGTACATATATTTTTCTGTGTCAAATTTGCTAATGGAATTAAGACTTTATATTATCTACAGTCAAACAATAGGTCATGTAAGATCTTAGTAGGATCAACTCTCGTTATCTTCCCGACTATAATCTCATTGTCTTGTGCTTAGATTTCCCTTTCTATATCTTGTATTATTATGCCATAGGTCCTCATATATTTTGATTAAAAAGAAAGTAGCTCCCCTATAACTACAAGTACAATTCTTTAATATTTCAGTTTGAGTAATGAGATCATAACACGATATTCAAAGAGAGAAATCTCATATCTATAAGTCTAGTACCTCATTTTTCGGCTACCCCTCTTTCCGGACACCTTTTTATACCAAAAATCATCATTTTCAGTTATTAATAACTTCATAATTAATCATTAGGATTTGATGAAATTTGAATCTTATATATATTATATAATTATTAATAGATTCTGAAAATTTCAGATTTTTCACAATTTTATTGATTAAGAAATTGAAAATTGAAATTATGATTTTCAATTTGTATAAGATTTATATACAAATTTGAAAAACTTGAAAAACTTCAATAATTTTTCAACAAAAATTACTAAAAATAAACTATAAATTGTTTGGAAATCTTCAAATCAAAGATTATATAATAGATTAAGATTTTGAATTTTTAATAATATTTATAAATTTTATAAGGATTAAAAATCATAACATTTTGATTAAAAAGATTTCTGTAAAATATTTTTTAAAATAACTTAATTTATTTGATTAATTATAATATAAATATTCAAAAAAAATTTATAATTTATTTTTAATAATTTTTATTCAAAAGTTATTGAAGGTTTTAATAATTTTTCAATTTTGTATATAAATTCATACAAATTGAAAATTCAAAAATTTAACTTTTCAATTCTCAATCAAATCAATAATGAAAAATCTAAGATTTTCAAGGTTGATTGATAACTATATAATAAATCTACAATTCAAATTTCAATCGATTTAATTAATAAATTGTTGAAATATTAATAAATGAAAATGATGATTTTTGATGTAAAAAGATGTCCGGAAAGAGAAGTAGCCAGAAAGTAGGGTACTAGATGTAACGATCTGATCGAGGCAGCAGCTGCCTGAGGTTTCGTATAGTTGGTAGTTATAAGAATTCTAGTCATTACTCACCGCACCCCCTTTAAATTTCACCTACACTTTTGAAAATTTAATATTAAATCAACACTATAATATTTTTTATTGAAAATCTAATGATATGTTAATGAATAATAGCTAATCCTTTTACTTTAATTATATTTTCTAATTTACAAATCAATCTTTCAATATATGATCTGAAATTTAAAGGATCAAATATCTCTTATAATTTTTTAAGCTTCCTTTTCAATTCCTTAATAAAAGTAAATACAAATAGTAATTTTTTTAACTCCTCCTTTATTCAATATTATACCTTCTCAATTGGATTGAGATTTAGAAAAAAAGAAGGCTATTGAAAACCTTTAATATTATATTCTAATCGAATTAATATAATATACTTCAAATGAACCTTTACATTATCCTTTATAAATATATATTCAAATCTTAATTTATCAAATAAAGGAAATACAATAAAAATAAAGATCTAATCTCGATATACTATTGAATTTACTCTTTTATTTTTAAAATTCTTCTTCAAAAAAACTAATAGAGATTTATAATTCTAATCAAAAATCTTTTATATCATTACAAAAATCCTTTTTGATTTATATACTAATTTGAAACAATTTCTATACCTTTTTTCTTTAATCTTATAAATCATCTATATCTTATTACGTTTTCCAACCTCGAAAATGCTTTCGTTTGATTATATAATCTTCCTTCAATTATTTCTTTTAAATTTTTCAAAAACTATATCGATTATTCTTTATCAACGATATATATATACAAAATCCAACCTCTTTTTTGTTTCTTTCTTAAAAATAAATAATTTAAAACAAATTATATAATATTTATAATTATATCAATATAATTTATATCGAATAGTATATACCAAAACCTTAACCTCTAATACATATTTCATTTATTCAAACATCATCTTTTTTTTTTTCCAATCTTTTATCAATTCCCTTATAATTCATCGAATTTCTTTAATTATCATTATAAAAGATTGATATATCTTCTTTTTACAAACAGTTCTAAATCAATTTGATTTAATGATACTTCTTGTAATACTTCGAGATACACCCAAATTTTGTTCGATTTAAGATCACGATTTTCCATCCCTATAATCTAAAAGACTTTAGCTTTACAGAGGGTATTCCAATTTTGATGAAATTCATAACTATCACTTTCATCTTGAATTTTGACAACGATTTTGAATTTGAATAGAAAATATTGAAAATTTGAATTTTGATGAATTATTTATAATTGAGGGTTGAAAATCAGATTATAGTTATTTCTCGGTAAAGTGTGCGGCTAGAAGTTTCCAGAACTCTTAGGTTAAGGTTATTGATCATTGATTATTTATTTGAAAATGAATTCGTTATTAGATCAATTGGAATATAGATAAACTAATTGATGATTAAGTTGAATATAAAACTTCTAAATTATAAAACTATTCTAATTATATACTAATAAATAAAAAGAAGTTTCATAGAGTTTAAAAGCTTCAAAAAGCTTTTAGAATTCTAAAAGTTTTCTAAGCTTTTAGGGCTTTTTATTATATAATTGATCTTGAAATCTTTTTTTTCTTTAAATACTTGTTTCAGAAGTTTTTCTTTAGAAATCTTTGTTCTAGAATATGATATATTTTAAAATAATTGTTTTATTATAATTAATTAATTAAAATACTTGTTTTATTTTAATATAATTATTTAAAATATTTATTCTAGGAATCTTGAATTCCTATTTATAAACGATTAAACCCTTTGAAGACAACGATTAAATTATATTCTTTTTATAATTAATATCTAAATCATTAATATCAATAATACTATTATAATCTAATTTTTGAATTGTGATATTATCCCTTTCTCAATTAAGTATTATTATAATTGTTTATAATCTTTTAGATTTTATTTAATAATTGGTTTTCTATTTCTATAATCTTTAACTTATAATATATTACTAATTTGTATTTATAATTGATATAATTCGAAATGATTTATATTATTTTCAAAGTTGAACTATTGTATATAAATTATACTAAAAATAAAAGTTCTATTTAATTGTTTTATTAATAATTTATATAATATCAAAAATAAACTTCAATAATTTGATTTATTCTTTTATTTCTTTTATTAATTTGTAAATGAAATATAATAAATATTTTTCATTTCATTTTTAATAATATTATTAAAGCAATTTAGAATTTCGATATAAAAAATTTATCTTTATTAGAAAGTATTTTTTTTGATAATTTGTATATTATAATAATCTTTTTTAGAAATATAAAGACTAGTATTTCTATAATTAGTATTATCTGATATAATATTATTGTAAAAGTGGTAGGTCGAGATATATATGTCCCGATAGCACACTATAAGGAGGGAATTGAAAGAGAAAGCTGAATTAGATTATATTGTAATATGTTATTTATGGGTAAAACAGGGTTCATAATGGTTTTGGGGTTGATGCTATATAGGTTCAAATGTATATATGTAGAAGGTTGATTATTGTGAAAAAAAAAGGCAAAAGACTCTTCTTTTATATCTAATTATAGAAGGTCATGTGATTGACTAGTTAAAACCTTTATGTATTTGGCCTATAATTCCAACTTTCTCACAATATATCTCGACCTATCACTTTTATAATATAAATATCAGATACTTTATTAATCTATTTATTATAACAAAGAAATAATTATATATTATTTTTATTATTAGATCCTTGAATTTTAATAATAGATTTATAAAATTCTATAATATTGATTTCTATAATATAAATAATATTTCAGTAGTATTTATTTATCTAAAAACAATATAATAGAAAGTTTTATCTCTAATATAGATATTATATTTAATAATTATTTTATTGATTATATTCTAGAATCTTGAATTCCAGTATTATCTTTTAATTCTTAGATATATTTTTTGTACTTTCTAATATTTATTGTAAAAGTAATAGGTCGAGATACATATATCCTGATAACATACTGTAAAGAGGGAATTGAAAGAGAAAGTTGAATTAGATTATATTATAATATATCATTTATAGATAAAACAGAGTTTATAATGGTTTTGGGATTGATATTATATAGGTTCAAATGTATATATATAAAAGATTGATTATTGTAAAAAAAAGAAATAAAAGACTCTTCTTTTATATCTAATTATAGAAGATCATATAATTGATTAATTAAAACCTTTATATATTTGATTTATAATTCCAACTTTTTTATAATATTTGAATATAAACTTATTATTGTTATAATAATACTTTGAAATTCAAGAATTTAATATCATTCTATAAGTATTTCTGTTTTAATCTACTTTCCTTCTTAATTATTTAAACTTTAATGATATAAATAAACTATACAAAAATAACCTATAGATTATAGATATTTATAAGTAACCCGCTCTACAAGTTATTTATTAGATTTATAATCTATCTTATAGTTTATCTATTAAGATTATAAAATAATCTGTTTTATATACTTTATTTATAGATTATTTATAAATAATCTATTAATTTATAAAAATTAATATAAAAACGAATATAAAAACTAGTATAAAAAATATAAGAATAATTTCAAAATTTAAACAAATATTTATTTTATAAATAATCTATAAATTATTTATGAATAATCTATCTATTTATAAATTAATAGATACTTATAAATAAACTATAAATTATTTATAATTTATTTATTCAGATTCTTCAATTATCTGTTCTGTAAATGGATTATCCACGGGTTACCCTCCAAAAGCAATTATCCGCCCCGCGGGGCCCCGTTGCGCAGCCTAGACATAAAGACTTGGTTGAGTTAAATTCCCACTTGGTATACCACTCTGGCCCCTTCCTGCGCGGATAACTTAGGGGCTTTAAATCGCGACAAGTCAAATTTCCATCATCTATTGCTCTCCTACTCTGGAAGTCAGCTATTGCTTTCTCCATTTTTGCTGCTTCCGAAAACATGAGGATGTCCAATACTCGCCTCTCGCAAGTTCGGGATCGGCGTCCATTGAAGAAGTACTAGCACCTCAATTGTTGCATTTTACAGAAGGACCATTCAATTGAAAGTCCTTTGTATTCAGAAGTTAGAGGATCCTGAAGTTGAAAACGAAAAACAGAGAAGTGAGGAAATCTGGGAAACATACAGGAGCGGCTTGTGCGGCCTTGTTTTGAGGGACCTATTGTAAGGAAGCTCCAAAATATGCAAGAGCCCACGGCATGAGACTACAACAATTTTCTAGAACTGACGAGTTATGAAAAGAGACGGGAAGTGTAAGAGAGACATTTTTCCATTCAGTCAAGTGCGAAAATATGCCAGACTAATAAAATTTCGCTCGCTAAGTACCACCATTAACAAAATAATCAACTGGATATCCCAGCCACTTGCACTGTTCTAATTCTAAAAAGCTTTGGGCTTTCCCTGGCCAATCGATCAACATCATACTGCCCTTTTTCCCTCCAGCACCTACCTCCTCCCATTTCCCAGCCAGTTGAATGCCCTTCTGCACGGTTCCATATCCCCTGCTCTTTAAAAATCCATCATCTGGATTTGGATTTCCCGTCCTTACAAATGCTCCAAAGTAACTGACACTTAACTCCAAGCTCCACAAGTCCTCAGCGTCTCTGAATTGCAATCCGGTATTGAAAGCTCCAAATACCCATGGCATATCGGCCCCATGGAACCTGAAATATGGCAAATTTGGGTTTCCATTAGGGTACCCAGGCGAGGTTGGGGGTCCACCAAGCCCGTTAGGGTCGTAGCCGGCAATGGTCCTATCCATCTCATAGAAATAGCTCGACTTAAAAATGCTATTTTTGGAGCCTGCGAACATAGTTGCCTGATCTACACATCTGAAATCTTTATCCGTCGCCACGCGCTGTGACACATCTGTTGTTAATTGGTTAGTCGGTGTTGCCTATCAAGGACAGAATCCAGAAGAAAATGAGAAACAAAGTTTTATCATAGGAAAGAGAGGCTGTGTTTGAGGAAGAGGTAAAACAGGTTGCGGATTGAAGAACAGAATCGGGTGTTAAAAAAACAAAGAATTTTGAAGCTCGTTTACATACTAAATGAGTCAAGCGTGATGTTTCCCGTGTCGTAGTAAGGGAACAGCCCGCTATCAATTATTGATTGAGCATAGGACTGCGATATACTTAAAGAAGCAGCGATGCCAGCTACTTTGGAGGTGACAGGCTTCGAAGGGTAGACGGAACCAATTGATGCGCCGTCATTGGCGGTAACACCAAATATGACATCCACGTAGGCTGTGCTGCCATTATGATTGACAAGGTCAAGTTCAGCTGTGTTAATATAATGGCCGTCCTGGACAACGTATTGCGCAGCGTAGTCGAGTTGAACCAAAGGTAAAGCGGGGACATTTTTGAGGCAGGCAATTTGATCGAGTAAAGATGTTTGGTTGCATCCTGACTCCAGAAATATATTCTGACCAACTCGAGCATATGATTCTGGTATAGTGAGATATGTGGAATAAGTGGTTGCATAGTCACCTGAGAGTCCAAGATCTACACCACCACCGAGGTTGGACATAGCCACTGCACCTTGAAATTTTCCAATTGCTGGTGGTGAGCCTAGAAGTACTCGGACTGATCCCGCTCCAGCTGATTCACCGATGATTGTAATTCGCTTGGGGTCTCCTCCAAAAGAAGCAATATTTTTCACCGTCCACTAATTATATTAGCCTTGAAGATCATTGCGATGAACCAACAGAATTTATTACCTCTAGAGCGTTAATTTGGTCAGCGATTCCAAAGTTTCCCGTAACATTCGTTCCAGGAATGGCCAGAAAGCCCAAGGTTGAAAGTCGATAATTAATATTCACCACAACGATATCCTCTCTGCTAGCCAAATCACCTCCATCGCTCAGTTGATCAGCACCACTTCCAGTAACGTACCCACCACCATGGATCCAAAACATGACCGGTCTTAAATCCTTAGTAGAATTCGCTTTGGGAATATATGGGGTCTGGATGTTGAGAAACAAACAATCCTCGCTTCCGCCAGTAACCTGGGCGCATTGTGATCCATATGCAGTTGCTTGAATTGTCTGACCCGTGGGTGAATATGTCGTAGAATAGACGAATCTTTCTGGTGGATTTGCATATGGTATACCGAGAAAACGAAATGATTTTTGGTTGCGGAATCCGACGTATGTATTCCCTCCTGCACCAACAGAAACCTTGTTGCTACTGCTGGCGATGGCGGTTCCAGGTTGACTTTCATCACTAGACTGAGTACAAAGAACGGGGAGTTTTACATTGTTATAAGCAGACTTCGGAAAGCTCAATCCATGAACTGAGTCATAGGAAACAATTCCACCGTCAATGATGTATAGTTGTGATGATGAGGCGCGACCACGGTGCGCTTGGTATGATAGGGGAAGTAAAAAATCGGACGGTTGGCGTTTTATTGTGCTACTGCTAAGCAGTTTTTCATCCAGAGCCTCACATGCTGCGAGTGCATCGTTCGAAGAGTGAGGGTCGAGGAGAATGAACCCCACGTGATTTATATCATCAGAAGCATTAAGGTTATTCTGATACAAAAGTGTCAAGGATGTATCAGTATTTGAGAGAGCTGATGTGACCGGAAATACAAGGGAGGCGAAAAGAGGAAGAAAGTGTAGACTGGACAGGCGAAACATTGTTATGGGGTTAACTAACTCAATCCATAGATTGCATCTCACTCTTATATCTTTTGTATTTGCCTCTTCACAAACCTCGTCTGCACGTTGATATTTATCTGAATTTATTAGCATTTAGCCAAGTACACCGACTAAAATGCAATCACTCGGCATATCATCCGACTTTAAAGATCATGGAGAAAATTTCCCGTCACTCACTCGTTGTATGCCCTCCAGCAAGGTTATACAATTTATCCGCTGGCCCACAATCTGCGCGGGGTAATGAGACAGAAGTTATCCAGCTCCGTTTCTCCGCTTTCAATCGGTGATAGCTACTTATTCCTCCTGGCTGGTGGAGAATGAGACAATAGAGAATAAGATGACAAGCCTAGCATATGTAATTTTGCCTGCCCAAGACAATAAATATTTGAGATCCTAAATGAGAATATAAAGAATAAGAAGTTAATGAATTGAAATCTTTACACCGATAATTGAATGCGGGTCTAGTTGGTGAATGCATATTTGTGTAAAGGCCGATATCATAGGGGTTTTTCGGTAAGTACGGGGCATAGCACTCTCCTATAGTTCTTCAACTACAATCTTGTCCAGCGCATGAAACTACACTTAGGGAAAACCATGAATATAGTTCGATGGGACTGCTTGTAGCTTCGTCTATAAAACACAAAAATTGCTGTTTCCAAGCATACCCTCGACTAAAGAGGAAAATTGCTTCTAACCATAAGATAACAACTCATAGTTCGTCTCTTTATCTAAGCTACCCAGCTGATCGAGAAACGGAGCTTTCAATTCTGTCCGGGCACCGAGCATCGAGAAACGAAAAACCGGCCGGAGTTTAAATTTGGTCCAAGTTCATCCAACTCACGCTGGGCTCCCGGTGAGAGAACATTCAGTTTTGTCTGTGCGTATGATCTCATAAATATCTTGGGGGTACACGAATATTGCCCCGGAATTGAGGTTAAGCATCCGAAAAAAAGCTAAAATCAGATTGCCTTTTCCACTGTTGGCACGAGACGACAGAAAAGTTTTTGACATGACCTCTCACCTTCCTGTCAACATTAGAGCACTTATAAAAGCAATATAACCTTGTCAACCAATAAAACAAAGACAATTATACACAAATAAATTGTTAGAAGTCGTCAAAGGCTTTTAAATAAAAAAGGCTATTAAGACTATACTGAACTGTTCTCATCTACAATCTTAGTATTGTAGTCGATAAGGCTTAATTGCTTTTATTAGTGTTTTAACCTTGGCAAAGTGGATATGAGGTGTATATTAGATTGTAGTAGGCGTGAGTAAAAGCGAGGGGAGAAAAGTGATGAGTTTTAGATGATAGAGGTGTAAACTGAAGAATAGAATTTTTAAATAATTCCTTCAAGGATATCCTTTTTTGTAAAAGGATTATACAGATTCTAAATCCTTTATCTAAAAGTTTTTTAGGATACATTCCAAATTTTTGAATATCAATACCAGGAATAGTAATTTTATATATTATAATCCAATTCTTTTAAATATTATCTTATGAATAAATAATATGATATTTCGTTCAATTATAAGATATATAAGATCCTTCAATCTGATTAATTACATTTTATCAAGTTTATTTCAAAATTAAGTCTTTTCTATTTCTATAAATTATTAAGATCTAATTTTGAACAAAACTTTATTGATACAAATCTTCTATATAAAATATAAATAAATAAATCGATAATAAATCATTTATCTATAATATAATAAGTTAACAAAAATAAAAATGATTAGAAATCCAAACCTTTTTTATTCTTTATTTGACATTTTCATTTTTGAAAAGTTCATTCTTTTAAAATCTATTTCATTTTTTCATCAATAGATAATTAATTCTATTTTCTTTTTCAATATAATATCCTTATAGATTGATTTTACACATTTTTGTAAACAATATAATTCGATTTTTTTATATAAATCATTATTATAAAAATGATAGATTGAAATATATATATCCCGATAATATATTATAAAAAGAGAATTAAAAAAGAAAACTAAATTAAATTACATTATAATACATCACTTATAAATAAAATAAGGTTCATAATAATTTTAAAATTGATATTATATAAGTTCAAATATATATATATAGAAGGTTGATTATTATAAAAAGAAAAAACAAAAGACTTTTCTTTTATATCTAATTATAAAAGGTTATATCACGATTCACGGTTTTCTTTATAGTAGTATTATTGACGTCGGTGATTTATATGCCGACTACAGGGGGGGTGTGATTTAACCATTGTTTTCAAAGATCCTAATTATCTAAGTTTAGGACCTCAGGATTCCTAGAATAAGTATCCTAGACAACTATAGTAGAATAGAACAAATATCCTATCTAATTGATTATAATAGAATTATTATTTTAAAGGATATTGTATTTTAAGATTATAGTTTTTAAAAGGAAAGCTTCTAGGATAAGTGTTCCAGGAAAAGAAAGGCTTTGGGATATAAAAGGTCTCAAGATCAATTATATGATATGCTAGCTTTATTAATCAGTTAACAGAATTAGTATTATAGGAATATTAGCTATACTAATTAATTAATATAACTAACAAAGGAAAAAAGATTAGTATATAATCAAAATAGTTTTATAATTTAGAAGTTTTATATTTAATTTAATTATCAATTAATTTATTTATATTTCAATTGATCTAATAATATATTCATCTTTGAATAGATAATCAATGATTATTAGTTTTAATCTATAATTATCAATTAAACGAAACTCTAAGGTAATCGCTATCTCAATTATAGTATTACATTTTGAGTATCATTATAGTTAAAGTTATATATAGTACAATAGCTTTCAATTAGTAATTTATCAAATCATTTTTATTCAATTCAATCGGAGCTCTTATTCAAGTTGTTACTATTATGGAATATAGACAAACAATTCAGATATCCATTTTTGATTTATTTTATAAAGATCGTAATAAACATTGAGCTTTTATTATATAAATTGATTTCTATTATATTTTTAACAAACAACTTTTCTTAACTCTTATACAAAGAATCTTGTAATTGATCTTCTTTTTTTGAGAAACTATATTTAATTGAATTGAATTATTCTTTAATAACTTAATAACCAAGATTATTAATAATCAATTGAACGAAAATATGAAATCTGAGATTCATTGTTTTTTCCTCAATTATGAATTGTTCAAACAAGGATTTGATAGAGTATTCAGAGAAGTAGATCTTAATTATATAGTTGAAAGAGCATTATGACAACTCAGGCAGACCGGATCAGTTATAATTTATATTATCAAATTTCAATAATACATTGAATATATTATATAGAATGATAATTATCTAAAATCACAATTCTATAAAGAATTGAAGGATATCATCAAAAACAAATTAACGAGAGTTTTGAAACCATTTAATCTTTTTGAATTAATCGAAACCTTCATTTTTATTAATAATCAATTCTACAAACAACAAATAGAGAAGAAAGGAATCATTCAAAAAAGCAGAAAATTTCAAAAACCTTATTGTCAAAATAGATATCATGATATTGACGATCCAATAGAATTGGATAATATCGAATGATATTATATAAAGTCAAACAATCTAAATACTAATGAAAAGAAAAGATACAGAAAGAATAATTTATACTATATTTGTAAGAAAAACGAATATATATCTCAAAATTGTTTTCAAAAGAAGAAATTATTCATTACAAAAAACAAGAAACAGATAAGATTTGAAAACAAAAAATAAAGTTTTCGAGAAACAAAAATCTTAAAAGGAAATTCGAAGGAAATAGGATTATTAGAAAAAGATCTACCTCAATTCAATTTTAAATAGTTAAAAGAATTGGATATTAATAATCAAAACCCTAAAACTGATATTAAGAATAGTATCAATTACAAAAAAGAACTTTTAAAAAATCTCGAATTAAGAAATAAAGAATCAAATAAGGAATTCGAAAAGAACCAATAACCAATTGAGTTTTGTTAATTGCTTTAGGAAAACAAATTGTAGTATTTAATCAATTATTTAAATAAAAAACGGATATAGTATTACTATAAAGAAAAGAAACCTGATTTCATTGAGAAATATAAAATCTTCGATTATCTCATTTTGTTAATACTTTATATAATAATATATAATAATACTTATTATATAATATTTCAGGAAAATATTGGGGCAAATAATATTAAAAGATATATTGTAGATATAGATTTTTTATTCTTCGACAAAGTATAGGAATACAACGAATAGAATCTAGAAATTGGAAAGATATAGGAAATCCTATTACAAATCAGGATTCATTGTATCTAATAAAAAATCGATAAGGATAACAAAGAAATATCAAACTGAAACTATTATAAAGACTTCCAAACAAAACCAATAAGATTATTATTTATCATATCTTATTGATTATTAAATATAAACAAATATCAATATGAATAAATGAATTTCTTTATCGAAGAACAAATCATCGAATCATTATCATTAGAATTCAATAATATTATAAAAATCAAATAATTAATCGTAAAAGTCAAATTAGAAAATCAACAAGTTAACATTTTGGTTAATTTTAGAATTATAAGTATATTCATAGATCTCAATTTCGTGAAAAAAAATAGAATTCTTACAAAATTAAAACAGAACCCTTATCAATTAATACTATTAGAAAAAAAGAAAACTGGAATTGATAATTGAATATATAAAGAAATCAATATTGTTAAGATAATCATATCAGATAAATATATCAAACAAATCAAAATGGATTTAGTATTATTGAGCAGATATATAATTGTCCTTGATATTCTGTAGATCAAAAAACATAATCCAAATATCGATTAAATAAAAGATACTTTAATATTCGATCATTATAATTGTAATAACGAATAATTATATAATTCGAAAGAATAGATTTCTAAAGAGATCGGATATTATATTATAACAACAACAAATCCTTTATTGATCGATAAAACCAATAAAAAAGAAATTTTAATATAGTATAAAAGATTTATTAAACTTTTCGAAGATTTATAAGATTTAAGGGCCTTACTAGAATATAAGCCTTGGAATTATAAAATCAATTTCAAAAAAGGATTTATATCCTTTACCGAAAAGTTGAGGTTATATAATCCTAATACTATACAGATATGAGAAGAATACAAGATTAAAATTGAAAAGAAAAAATAGATTAAGAAATCCAAATCCCTTTGTATATCCAATATATTATTAGTATTCAAGAAAGACAATCTAGATGATTGGTTTTGTAGAGATTACTATTGAATAAATAATAAAACAATCAAAGATATATATCCAATATCGAAAGTCTAAAAACTAAAAGATAAATTGAATAAAGTAATGATCTATACAAAATTAAATCAAAAGAATACTTTCAATTTGATATAAATAAAAAAGAATCAC